TGCAGTGCAATTAAAAAGTCTCCCCCAAAGCACAGGCCCATCCGCATTTCCATGCTTTGTTAGTTATCCAGGTTATTGGTGAACTAACGCCGTCAGCACACTGGCTGGTGCCACTCCTTAGTGTGTTTTAGTTGTGAGAAGAAGGATCTGGTTGTACCCTACCATTGAAATATGATTTTGCGCTTCTTTGACATATCTCAGACCAGGTGTATCTAAAATAAGACTTGGTCTACCTTTCATCTGTTTATGGTCCTGGGTATATTTTACCTGAAAGGAAATAGCAGAACAGACTTGATAAGACAATTACAATCTTTAAAAATTATGTAACTTTTTCAAGTTTTCCAAATGAGTGAAATATATACAACACATTCTACCTTATTCTCCCAGGTAACTTGTTCAGTGAATTAATTTCATTCTAGAATAACAATCTAAAATTTTATAAATGTAAATTAATACAGTGGTAGCTTTTGGAAATCATCTGAAATAACACATGTACTTACTGCATATATCCCAAATGTTTCTTGAAAATATATTTTGTTTTCACAAGAAAAAAAAACAGGACTGCACATAAATAATAAATGATACACCCTTTGTGATAGTCCAAAAGGAATAAAACCACTTGCCGAACTAATATTTTCTTGATTCTTCTTTACTCTTTCCATCTCAGGAGTTACACTTAAAGGCGTAGCTCTTCCCAGCTGACCTTTATAATAAACCTACCATTTCAGAGAACAAAAAAAAATAGTGCAATGTGAATCAATTCAACTAAATAAGAGTCTCATAGTATTTATTTTAAAGAACTGGTCAAAAAAAGAAAACTATGAGAAAAGGTTGTTATCTGATGTCTAGTCATATTTTAAATGCTTGCACCTTAAATCAATCTATTTTAATTCATTCCATAGCATTGAATCACAGTGAATGTACTCCACTATATGGGCATACCATCAGTAACACTGTAATACGCATTCCATCACAAAGGAATGTGATAAGAAATGTCTTCGTGGATATTACTGAAATGTACTCCTGCCCATACAGAATGGTGCCATTGTGGTTTCTTAGTAATTAATTGTAGCAGATCTTTTGAAAGGTTATCTTCAAATGGGGGGCATGATCTTGCATAAAAAGGCTGGTGTGCTTCCCACTACTCTCTTCCTCCTTTTGAAAAACCATGTCCCTTTTTGAGAGTAATGGAGTCAGTCACATCCAGTGCGACTCTAAATGTATCAGGAAAAGATGAGCATCTACTTCTACAAAATATAGTGGTCAGGAAAAGTGCCAAACAGTAAGATGCCTTTGCTTTATAATCTAGTCAAATAACTTGAAAGGTGTAAAGAATACAAGGTTTCTTTGAACCTAATAGATTTCCAAATTTCCTCCTCCACAGAACTCCATCTATATGTTAATGACTTCAAAGAAGAATTCTCTCAGTGAACTGCGTCCATGGATTACATAAACAGCAAGGAGCTGGAGCAGGCTGGGAGTTGGGGTCTTAGTAAAAAGTGAAAGCCCCTACAAGGACCCTTACATGGGCCTGTCTCGGGTAACCTATTCAGCATATACACTTTATAATTTCTCCCCAGACAGCGTCCAAAAATAAAGTAATAATAGCTGGGAGTGGGCTGACCAGGCTAGAGAGAACATGTGCAGGAAGGAAAGGGAGTGGGAAAGCTGATGGGTAGGGCCATGAAGCCAGAAGCTGCCGCCAAGTCCCTTTGAGGAACCACAGCAAGCACAAGCAGGAAGACTAGATAAGAGGGATACACAATAACCTGCAGACAAAAGTCACACGCAAGTCCCTGGGAACTCTGGAAGGGAGAATGCCTGGCTATGCCCACAAGACCTAAGACCCTGAAACCTTTCCAAACCCAATGTCAACTCCAGGTCATGAACACTTGTAAACATCATCCCTTCATTGACACGCTGACAATACGCTGGGTATGATAAGAAAGAAGTTGCTAGGATCACACATTGCTGATATTCCTCTGGTTTTCTTTAACTCTCTTCAGCTCTGGTGGATCAGAAATTGCAGTTGCTTGTTTAATCCCTCCTTTGTATTTTACCTGTGGAGGATAAATAAGAATGTTAATAGGTAGAATGATGGTTTCCACCCAAACACCACCGAGGATGGAGCCTCAAATTAAGCCTGTCTTTTCACACATCTTTTCCACCGTAGGTATGTTGACATCTACCACTGGATTCTGATTCACCTGACTGAGCAAGGACAAGTGTTGGTTGTGCTTTTTAAAAGTGAAATTCTAATAAATATTTTGCTGTTCAATATCCAAACTAACTGCCAAAATTCCAGGACTAAAAGTATTGGACATAGAAGGGGGAACCATCAGAATGGAGTCATTACATAAGAACTACAGTGAGGTTCCATGCAGCCTGGGAAGCCCAGGACTCTCTACCTGACCCAGGGCTTCAATCTTTAAAACTTAAAAACCAAAGAGGAGGGAATGGGGACCAGTGAAAAGGTAAAGGGGATTAAGAAGTACCAACTGTCAGTTATAAAAAGAGTCACGGCACAGGGAACATAATCAATAATATTGCAGTAACTATGTATGGTGACAGATGGGTACTAGACGCCACCAAACCTCCCTGGCCCCTAACTAGTCCTTCAACTACCCATTCCCCTCCCTCTGCACGCAGGGTAGCCTCCTGTGGCAGGGCCAGACGGTGAGTGCTGAATCAAGCCCAGCTCCCTGGTTCCTTTATCCCCTTCTCCTGTCTTTAGGATGGGACGCTGCCGTAACCCTAACGTTCATACCAGTTCCCCTCTAACTGGGGAAGGAACCTTGAGAGGGCTCAAATTCATCCACTTGAATAGTTAACTGAAGCCGCCTTCATTTTAGTAAAATCTGATCTCCTTGGAGACACTTCAGTGAGTTGTTTGGGATTTTTTAACGGAGGAAAGAAAGGCATCCGTGGGCGCTGATGCACTCCCTTGCCACTCTCCGGCTGCTGGCATGCACTGGACTTCCCCTCAGTTCGGGGTAGGGCTGATGTCTGGGCCACAGCTAGTCCAAGCTTGGCCCTGCAGATCCAGTTAAGCTTCTGTCTGAAGTTCCACTTTCACCTGCTGCCCTGAGTGGCGGTGGACACCCCAGCAGGCTGATACCGAGGGCGAGGAGCAGCCCCAGGAGCCATACAGGTTCAGAGCATGTTTCCATTTACAGGAAACAGAACGCAGGCCTCTGAGTATCCACAGAGCATGTGCAGATTGCACGATGGGCAGAGTACCTCTCCCCCCAGGACAGTGTCCCTGGCAAACCCTGGGGACCACTGTCAACAATGCTGCTGGACACACCCGAGAACACAGGCAGACTGTTCATAACCAGTACATGCGTAAAGTGAATTACCTGGAGAGGCCATGTTTGCTCCAAACCTGAGCTTAATGGGAGCGGGATGGCTGCCATTCAAAGCCTATTCACAGGAAAACAGGGCTGGGGTCTCTCATACAACAAACAGACACACGCAGGTTATCCAAAACGTCATTGTGTACGGACTGCACTTTGTTCAACACGGATTTTGGTTTTGTGGACTCTGAACACACCCATTCACCTCATAGCCTTAGATTTACCTATTTTTGTATACATATATATTTCTTCCTTTTTAATATAATGTCAATGCCTTGTCTGAATATCATCAGTCAAGAGTGGGGGGAGAACCAACCTCTTCATAGGAACAGGGCTGGGCAGGGAATGTTAGTTTCAGCTGCTTGCTTTCCTCATTCAGATTATCCCTATCAAAGCTCAGCTGGTTATCTGAAGCCAAACTACAGTAACCAGGATCATATGGTCCTTCTGGAGGCCACCTTCACCCCGCCCCCGCCCCCCCCAGGCCACTCAGACTCTTTACATAGATTACAGCGATTAGTTACCCCGCTCACAGGGAGGGGGAGCATGAAAATTACAGATAACCAAGGCATTTTTCCCCCAAGGGGTCAGTTTGAAGGAAGGAAGGAAGGAGGGAAGGAGGGAGGGAAGGAGGGAGGGGAGAAAAGAAAGAGGGAGGGAGAGAGAAAGAGAAAAAAGAGGGAGGTAGGGAGAGAGAAAGAGAGATAGAGAGAGAGGGAGGGGAGAGAGAGAGGAGAGAGAGAGAGAGAGAGAAAATTATTCAGAATAAAAAAAAAATCCTGAGTGTGAGCCAGGCTACGGGGTTGCCTCTGCATTTGTTCAGACAGAACAGCGACATGAAGGCCCGCAGACTGTCCTTGGGATGGAGGAGAGCCCCGGCCACCTGTTGGTACAGACCAAGGGGCAGAGATGCAGAACGCTGTACTCTTTCCGCTGCCGCGGCTCCCTCCTGTGCACCCACAGAAGCTCCAAAGAGAGAGTCCGCCCAGCCCAGCCCAGCCCGTACACAAAACGTCTCCTCCTCAACTGCAGCCCGGCTCTTTGAAGGCCAACCTGGGCAAGAACCACAGACTTCCCTTCCCAAACACAGTCATTGCCTGCCTGCTGGCACAGTTCTTGGTTTAGCTCACGTTTTCTTTCAGAAACACCAGAGAAGGCAGTATAATCTTGTGCACCTGAACCAGCCTGCAGCCAGCCAGAGCCCCCTGGGCAGGGCCCCCCAGGGATGCACAGTGATGCATCGATGTCGTCACCTGGAATTTGGAAATGCAACAAGCCCCTCCCCACCTGCCACACAACTGCCCGTCAGCCCTCACCCTCCCACAGGGCTAGCCCACGTCCAGCTCTGCAGACACTGGCAGGGGGTGACACCTCTCATCGCTGCGGGCTTCCTTCTTCATCCAGGGCTGAGACCTGCCGCCTCTCCGGGCTGAGACACGGCAAAGTTCTCTTATGCCAGGGGTCCTCAAACTTTTTAAACAGGGGGCCAGTTCACTGTCCCTCAGACCGTTGGAGGGCCAGACTATAGTTTAAAAAAAAACTATGAGCAAATTCCTATGCACACTGCACATATCTTATTTTGAAGTAAAAAAACAAAATGGGAGCAAATACAATATTTGTATTTGCATGTGGCCCGCAGGCCGTAGTTTGAGGACCCCTGTCTTACGCCAACACCAGAGCCAACATCCCCTCCTCCACTAAGCATCACCTCAGGGCACAGTCTCAAGCCCCCTTCCTTGGGGGCTTCGGAAACACACATCTCCCCGACCTAAGCAGCTAGTGAGGTCTGACTTGAAAAGGGGAAAACGGAAATGATGGTGGGGAATGAGGAATGAGTCACAGAACCAGCTTCTCAGCCCTCCGCAACACTGTGCTTCTGTGAGGGGTGAGGCATCGGAAGATGTAGGAAAATGCGAGTGGAGGGGCCAAAAAAAGTAAAAGGGAAAAAAAAACACACAGCTGAGTAGCTATACCACCTACTCTGCAAGTCACCTATGCTTCTCTCTTGCTTCTCCCCTGCCCTGGTTGCTTTGCCAAGTTCTCAGGTATAGACAGGGCCTGCTCTCGCTGGGGGAGCTGCTATGCTGGGAGTCTGGGGAGTCCTGCTCATTGGTGGTATTCAGGAGCAGGCATGAGGGTGGCCTTGGCAGGTGAGGGTGCCCAGGATCTCAGGCCTGCTCCTTGGGAGGCTGGCCGAGCCCTTCCTCCTCGTCTCCAGGGGCCACACATGGCAGCGGTGGTAGAAGTCCAGGGCTCCATCCAGAGCATCGGCCATGAGTGTTCAGCTCTTTGAGGTCATCACTGTGGTGGCGCCTGTTGCACACACACACACACCTCAATGCCCAAGTCACCCATGAAGTGGCGATGTCTGCCAGGCGTCCTGTCCTTGCTGTTGGGAAGGGGGCCGTCCTGCTCGCAGGTATAATCTTTCAGCAGCTCCTCCTGACATTCGGAATCTGTGTCCAGCAAGGCCCCAGGGGCCAGTTCCCAGGGCAGAGACAGAGCCACTGGGCTCCGTTCCAGGGGCTTTGGTGGCTGTGGGTTGGCTGGCGTGTCTGTGTTGGGAGGACTAGGGATCAGCGATGATGGTGGAAGGTCACGTGCTGCTTCTTCTGGGCCCAAAGGGCTGCTCTGTGCCCCCTGGGGCCCCTGGTGGGATTGGCACCTGGGGACTGCTGCCCACAGAGCCACACTGTACAGGCAGCTGCTGCTGCTGTAGCTGGAAGGCATGAAACAAAATGGCAGCGCTAACTGTGGGCTTCTTGGTAAGGCGATCAGGTTGATTTCATGTTCCCACTGCTGGGCCGGTAGGCGGTGCTTGGGTGCTTGGCCGGCAGTGGTGGCCAGCACAGCAGCAGCCCAGGATGATGATGATGGTCCACACCAGCCAGAACACAACACCAGAGTTCCCAGTAGTAGGTACAGCACTGAGACTATCCACAGCAGTGTCCTCTCTCACAGGCGTAGCTTTGATTGTTGGTCCCCACACAGGTCTCATCCTGTGGGGGTTCAGCCCTGGCTGACGGGGCTGGGCAGCACCCAGAGGAGCTCCATGCTTCCCTTCTTCTCTCCATCCCACCTCCTCCCCTTCTCTTCCTTCTCTAACACCATCTCTTCCTCCCTCTCTCCTCCTCGTTCCTCTTATTATTTTTATTATTCTGGAATATCTGCGAGGTTGAAGCCAAGATGATTTTGTTTTCTTACAGCTGACGGCTAGCATAATACTGAGCATGTATCAGGGGCTTACTAAGTATCTACTGGATAAATGAATAAATTAGGATAAGGAAATGGGAAGAAGCTAAAGATCTCTCATTCCCGCCATCCTCCATGTCGCTATAAGAACCAAGCAATGTTCACCCTGATTTTGTCCTCCACCTGGGAGAACTCACTGAAATTTTAAAGTCTTTTAAAATTATCTATTTGGAAGAAGAAGGCTACCATTTGTATTGGTAACAGTTCCATTAAGAGGGTCAAGAAACGGGAAAAATAACTATTGAGGGTAGCACCTTTGAAACGATTTCTAAATCCCAGGAAGACTGGTTTAAAGTCTCAGCCCTGCCCTTACAAATTGTGGGTCCCCGGCTTGTTCTCTGACCTCCCAGACTCAATTTCCCACTCCTGCAAACCAGAGAAATAAACTGTACCACTTCATGGGGTCACATAAGGCCTGTAGCACAAAGTCCATAGTAGAGGTACCTCATAAGTGTTAATTATCATTGCTTTATTAGCAATAGATTACTGACTGGTCAAATAACTTTTCCACTTTATTTATAAGGTTTCCTGCCATGACAGTATGTCTTAGGACCCCAGGTCTTCTTCTGACCTACTCCAGCTGATCATTTTTCTCTCCGTTGACAGCAGACCTCCAACTCCCCAGGTCCTCACCTGGATGTCGTTTTAGAGATCTACCAACTGAATCGTGAGGTCCATGAGGACAGGAACTGGGTCTTATCCATCTCTGCGTACCAGTGACCAGGATAATGTCTGGCACATTGAAGATTTCTTAAATAAACAGAAATGTCTAAATTATAGTAAAACAACCCCAAATTTCCTACACTCCCGTGGGAGGGCCCCAGTTCATGCCCTCCCGTGTGTGCCTGTGAGAAGGACCATCACAATGCAGAGGGTTCAAAGGTTTTCAGAGAGTGCTGTGATGAATAAGAATGTGTAATGTGTGATACAATAAGAGAAAACAGAGACAACTTGCCGTACTCAGCTGCTCCTGGTTCCTCCTCACTCTCTCTATCTCTGGCGTCATGCTGACTGGGGTTGCCCTGTAGCTCTGCTCTTTGTACTGGAGCTGGGAACACAGGGCAAGACAGCGTGAGGCTGCGGGGAGGAAACGCTGCCCCTCCACCGGCAGGATCAGAGGAGATGCGCATGCTGCAGAGCATTCATGAGTTAGGCTCTTCATCGGGATCCTAAGTGAAATATGCCTTGCTCAGAGGCTTCATCATATTGATCCCAGACTACGCTCTTTCTTGTCCAAATGTTTCAAATCCCACCTTTGGTTGTAACTCTTCCAATTGCATCATGTATTTGACCTTATCAGTGACAGCAAATGATTCCTTCTGTGAATGTATTTCTTCATAGCAGTAAAGCAACACTGATCAAGTTACCATTTTATATTTCAAAAGAAAGGGGGATTATATCAGCTCTATGCTTGTACCTTAGGGGTGAACAGTCACGATAGAAAGAAACCATGAACCTCACAGTTTTCTTCTCTGAAAACATCCAACCTTGGAAGGCTTGCCCTCTGGAAGAGCAGTAGGGACGTTTTCCTGGCCTGCAGCATGGAGGTGCCTTTGCTTATCCAGGGCTTCAGACCCATCAGTTGCGGTCAGCTTTCCTAGCAATTCCACACATCCCAGAAAATAAATGAGCAGACAACACCGAGGGGAAAAATGGTATGTCCATCAACTGAATTTTTGACAGGCAAAAGTAAAACTCACAGTTAAAATTCTATAAGGAACTCCGCAAGGACGTGGTAGTGATTTTTTAGAGTTTAAATTTAGCATAAGGGATTTTTTTTTCCTAAGAAATTACCAGGCCTACAGGGCCTGCAGATATAATGGACTTGAGTTCCCACCCTCAGCAGTGAATGTGCAAGTGAAGAGTCATTTTGATAAGTTTGGAAAATAAGCGACAAAGGGACAGGCCCCTTCTACAATGTGTGGCCTTCTCTGTGCCATGGCATGCATGTTGAGAGGTTAGGCAGACTCTGTGTCTGGGATAACCGTGTGAGTCAAAGTGAGGCAATGCCCAGTGTAATCTCTATGGGCAGCAAGATACATGGAGATTGCACTGGGTAGAGCTCAGAGAGGAAAATCTATAGAACAGCATTACTGATGTGGAGAGACTAGTGAAGCTGATTTCTGGTGGATGTAGGTTTGGGGACATAAGGGTGATGTGGAGATTGTTCATGTTTTGCATTCATCCATTTGCAAACATGCCAAGTGCTTTACAGGCAATATCTCACTTACTACTTTAGTCCCTGTGTTATAGATGAGGAAACGGAGGCTTGGAGAGCCGGGTGGCTTATGAAGGTTATAGAACAAGTGAGGCCTGGAGAAGGGATTGAACCAAGAGTCCAGGGTCCACATTCATCCCCGCTATTCCAGTATTATCTAAATTTCCACCATTTGCACACCACTTACCTATGTGTCATGCCAGATGCCATCTGTGCTGTGATTTATATATTTTTTCAGTTCTTTTACTAGCTATTCTTTTCAAATGAAGTTATTTTTAAAGGAGTGTTATGTTTCTATGATGAACACATTAAGATTACTTAATCACTAAGTCAAGGCCTAATAAACAGCAAGCCACTGAACTGCATCCATGTGTGAACCACATTTAAGGGACACTGTGGGTCTCCCAACTGCCCCCCTTAAAGACCCCACCGTCATCTTGTGCCACACTTCACCCTAAGTACCCATCACACTAAGCCTCCTCCAGCTTGAACAAGCCTTGGATTCTGAACAGAATCAGTTTGCTCTGCCAGCAAGGCTGTTCCCAGGCAAACCCACCCCAAACCTTGATTAATTCTTCCAGCTCTAACTCAACTGTCACTTTTTCTCCAAGGGTTTTACTCTCTCTCACTAACAGAGCCTTCCCTCTCTGCATTTTCCTACATCATTTTGCAAGAGGAATTATTACTTATTATTAAATGAGATATTGCATGTAAAGTACTCAAAAAGCAGAGTAAACACCCAATAAATATTGGTTATTGTTATAACACTTAATGCACCATCATTACTTTTTATGCCTGTTTCTCCTAGAGACCTTGAGAATATTCACAGCCTTAACTTTAGGGTGTGCCTTACTCATCTTTGAATTCCCCCCAAAATAAAAATACAGTAGGTATTCAATAACATGTTAGTGTTTTGTAAATAAGCAAATGCACATGAAGCATGGGCTAGGTGTCATGGAGGCCATGAAGGTGTGTGAGACCCGACCTCCGCCTATCAAGAACTGGCTCTCCTGAATGGTATTCACCATAATGGGCCTCCACCTTTGTAAGTGTCATGTATGGTGCTAGCCAGTAAAACAGCAAACAATACTTAGGGAAATGTGACCCCACACTGCCGATGTTCTCCTGGTTTTCTTTAACTCTCTTTAGCTCTGAAGGATCAGAAATGGCTGTTGCATGCTTTATCCCTTCTTTGTATTTCACCTGCATAATTTATTTTTAAAAATGTGGGTGTTATTCAACACAATGCTTTTAAAAAGTTTAAAATTCTTCATTTGTAACTATTGCATAATTGAAATTTCTTAATTCCAACATTAATTTCCTTCAATAGGAATACAAATTTTTATTTCATCTGATACTTTCAGGATTCCTTTATATACAGTACAAATAAGTCCATATCTATTCACCTATCCATCATTGTCGGAGTTTTTTAATTAAAGTAAGAAAATGTTGTTTATGATAATAAGTTTTGTCATTAGGCAAATATACAAAAAACCTTGGAAAATACTTGAGGTAATATCATAATTTATTATTGTCTATACAAAATGCAGTTTCTATTTATTGCTATGTTAAATTTACCACATATTTAAAGGCAAATGTCAAATTAAGTTAGCTACTGAATCTTGGGATCACTGCTTAGTTGACTAAGAGCATTCCAATAATCCAGAATAAGGAAAAAATAAATGTGGCCATGATAAAAGAAGAGAAAGGGGGAGGTAGAGGTACTTGTTCTAAAAACAGAGGCCACTGTGTCCAGATCACTATAGAAAAACCAGAAGCAGAAAGTCAGCAACTGTCTTCTAGCTTCACAATCATGTCATGGAAAGCCAGCCTATATCCTGGCACACAATTCACTGAAAAGCTCCTCTTTCAAATCTATTTAGAGCAGGGGTCCTCAAACTTTTTAAACAGGGGGCCAGTTCACTGTCCCTCAGACC